TAGGGAAAGTGAGCTTGGGCTAGTAGGGATAAGTGAAAGGGTCTTTTGGGGGCTGAGGGACCAGCAGGGACAAGGAAGTAATGGGGATAACATGTCCTCTAGATAACATCAGACCATCCTGTGTCCTACGTAAGCAAGCAAGGGAAAGGCACTAAAAGGATGCTGTTACTATGCATGGAACATGTCTTCAGAGATACCCTTATGCTAGCTAGGGATTTGGGAGGGCTTGTCTGAGCTCCCCAGTTACAGAGGCTTATTTTTCGGGAAATACTGTATGCCCATCAATACCAGATCTCAAAGGTGTCAGCTGAACACCCAGGTAGGGAGTAAGTTCATTTAAAATTTTGGCTGTCTTGCTTTAAGGTAGTGTGCCTTGCTTCTGCTTAGCTTGAGAGACCTTTGGCATCAGGGTAGCCTTTCCCTTGAAAGAGCCAAAGACACTTTGGGGCATCCCTTGGGGCTGGAGAGAGCTGGGCTTTTGGGCTGCGCTGCCCCAGGTATGTTATGTATAATTTTATTTGGCTGTTGGCTCCCTTTTTCCAGGGAGAGAAGGGAGCTGGGAGAAAGGAGCCTTTGCTCCATCTCACTCTGCTGCAGCTCAAAGGGCTGGGAGTGACATGCAAGCCTTGCAGTGTGAGACAGCAGGGCTGCATGAGCATGGTGGGGAGCAGCTCTTCCTGCTCCCCCCTCCACCACAGCTTGTTCAAAGCAGCACTGCTGGCTCAGGGAAAATGCCTTGCCTCCAGCATTGCAGTGGAAGAGCTTGATGGGGGGGATAGGAGAAAGGTGCCCCGAGATTTCTGGGGCTTGCAAATGTGTTGGGGGGGCTGCTCCCAAAAACAAGATGGGTGCGTGCAAGCTGCAGAAGCTGGGGTGGGGTGTGTGAAAGATGGGGTCCCAAAGAGTGCAGGGAGTCCCAGCAGAGAGGGGAAACTCATTGCTGTGACTGGCAGCAATGCAGGATGGGCTTTTCACAAATAACACGGGGTACCCTAGAACAGTGTTGACCCAAGTAGGGCCATAAAGCCCTCGAGGGAACTCTGTATTTCCTTCTCTCCCACCTCAGCACTACTACAGAGCGGAGATGAAGTTTACTCCTTGTGTTGCCAAATCTCTTAGAAACGTATTCTTGTTTTCATCAGCTATGCTTCCCTTGTTACTACTTGAAAGAGCCTTTTGTTCCTTAATTATGTATGCATGTGCACCTCTCCCTTCCCCTATGGCCACTGCAAGTACCTGTCCCTTCCCAAAGACCCCAAAGCAACCTTCAGCCAGCACCCAGGCTTCATACAGCTGTGGTCCAGAGAGGGAAACTCTGCCAGGGGATCTGCGCTGCCTTCCTGCACTGCACCTCTGGATTTGTTAGGGGTGTGTCTATGCCCTTGAAAGGCTTTGAGCCATTCCAGCACTCTGCACAGTTTTCCCATTTGCAGTAAATGTAGTTGAAACAAAGAAGGTGACAGTTTTCCCCTTGGAGTGGGCATTCGCGGCACCCTGACGCGCTCTCCCCAGGGCTAGAGCCTGAGTGCTTGCTGCCTGCTGTGGGACCTGATATGCTAAAAGTAAGTGCTTTAGCCTGCATGGGAGGTCACAGATGACTGAGTGTTCAGGTCATCTAGTGTTTGTGTGCCTTGTGTCGAATTTTATGGAGTAAGTCAAGCAAGTCAGCATTGGGGGTTTTGGCCCCCCCTTACCTCCCTTCCAGAGCTGGATTTAAAAACATGTGCATGGGGATCTGCTTGTTAGAGCATCTCATGTGTGTTTGCCACAGGGGACCCTGGATAAACAGCCCTTGCAGTGACATTTTTCCCTTTTGTGTTTCTAGAAAGCAGACAGCGTGTGCAGGGTGAGCTGGGGGTTTCAAAGCCCCTGTGAATTAGGGGCTGAAATCGGACTCAGGCCTGAACAATGGCGCATTCAGCAGCTGACGTGGTTCACTTGGCTCAGGGTTTTGCTGATGGATTGTAAATGGGATCACTCCAAGAGATTTGTTTTGTTTTTCTCTGCTCTCACCCACCTTTGAGCTCCTGTAGTTTATCTCTCTCTGTTTTGTTTGCAGGTCTGACTGCCTCATTAAAACAATTCGGTCGGAAGGCTACTTTGGCATGTACAGAGGTAAGTAAAGCTGAGTCAGGCACAGCGCAGCTTTTGCGTTGGAAGCACCAGTGCATAAGTGGGAGGAAAAGCCCATATTCTGTGGTTTATAAAGCAATAACCTGGCAATATCCTAAGATGCTGAAAGGTGCAGCTGTTTCTGAAAATAAACTCCTCCACTCCAGGTGTCTGTTCAGCTCTCCACCACTGAGGGCTCGAGTCCTCCCTGTGGCTGTTTTGGTGTTAAACCTTACCGTTTGCTGAAGTTCATCTTTGCTAGCAGTTTAAGTGAAGCTGCTGGACTTTGTTTCAGGACTGTATGTGTGTGTTTCCCAGCTTGGGCACAGTAACTTTTGTCAGAGAGGCAGTAGCAAACCTTCTAGAGTGTCTTACTTTGTGGTTGATGATTGCATTTATGTCAAAGCCCGCCACCAGTGTCGTCAGACCTGCTGTCCCATCTAGTTGGTAGCTTGTCCCCCAAACTGGCTGTCTCTCAAGCATGTCTGAGTGTTTTGTTCAAGTATTAAGACAAGCTGCAATTAAAAAGAAAATTTAAAAATAACCTGCCCCCAGAAAAAACTTCTCTTGGGGTGGTAAGAAAATCAGAGGTTGGCTCATGGTGGAGCTTCAGCTGTTTGGTCGTGTGCTAACCTGCTAGAAATCTCCTGGCTACTTGGCTTTGGCTGTCTATTGCAGCAGTTAGTTCCTCAGTTGACATTATGCCTTTTCCAGTTCAAACACAAAATCCTTGAAAGGTTTTAAAGATTTTGAGGAAAGACCAACAACAGGCCAAATTCTGACTTTACTCGTAGCAGAGGAAAATGTGGAATACCTTCTTGGCTTTCAGCACAGTCCAACTGGCTTAGCTGACACTGAACTCTGGTTCCTTTTATATACTGGCATTAAGTTGCTTGAATATGCAGTTTTTATCTCTCAGGCATTCAGATAGCATTCTTTGTAGCACTCATTCACTGATAAAGCCTGATTAAAGTACTGCTTTGATTAAGTGAGTCCTTGCTCTTTGTCTTTTTAAGCCAGAGTCTGGAGATGCTGGCGCCTTGCTGTTGGCAGCAGTAGCGTCTCTTGCCACTTCTTCCATAGCTCCTAAGGAAACAGACACTGTGGCCGGCAGTCCTGGGAGCAGGCACTGGCTGTTGAGGCAGCATGTCTTGCCCAACTTTCTGGTGGGCGTTTCAGGGGAGTGGGGTGGATGCTGGGGATGGATTGGCTGCTTTGTGCCAGCTTTCCTGGGACTGGGCAACAAGACAAATAACACTGAGGAACCCTGGCAAGCTCCATCTTCAATGCTAGCAGTGACGCGTTCCCCCTTGATTTTTCCCAGAAGCTGGCTGCTTCTATGTTCCTAGCCAGGAACGGAGCCTGCATTAACTTTGGCTGTAAATATGCAGTGGCAGACTGCTTGCTGGGGAGCAGAAGGGAAGAAGCTGTTCCTGGAAACTTACAGGGGAGACTGTAGGACTCATCAGGGCTTTTGGGAGAGATAGCTCAGTCCTGTAAGGTGTAGGGTGGTAGAGGGGATGTGCATCTCCAGGCCACTTTTCCCTCCCAAGCAGAAATCTCAAAGGATGTGGAGGGTTTTGCATAGTTCTTGCTTTTCCTAGCCATAATGAGTCTGGTCAGCTTGGTCCATGTCCCACTACCTTTGTACCCCCTCTGTTCAGGGAGCTGGTAGCGGCTTAAATTGACTTGTCACCTCTGACTATTAAATGGGGAGCTGGGTTTGGAGAGGGCTTTTGTGAATAGCTCCAGAGCTCCTTCCAGAAATTCATAGATATTTTGGCATGCCCAGGGTGCAAAGGTGATTCCTCCAAGCACAGCAATCCTGGTCTCTGTGCCTGAGTTCTGTGAGCTGACATTAGCAGCCTTTCCCTCCCTCTCAGGGAGAGGATGGGGGTAAAATACATCCAAGATTTGTGAAGAAAGTGAGTACTTTTCTGGGAGGAAGGTAAAGAGACAGCTCAGCCTCGCAGACAGGGGAAGATGGAAATCAGATGGTGGGATTGGTTCCTGCTCCCTCCATCTGTCCCAGTTGCCCAGCAGAAGTTGCTGTATGACTCACAGGCTCTTATTTTCAGCCTTTAAGCTGAAATTGGGAGGATTATATGTTAATGTCGCAGCTGCTGTGCCCCATGGAGGAGTCACAGGCACGTCAGTTGTCCCTGTAGGGCACTTGGCCTCTCTTGGAAGACAGAAAGGGTCTGCTTCGGCACAGCTATTCCCACTGTGTGACTTCAGGTCTCCTTCATGTGTGAATCAAAGCTGCTCAGTGCAGACAGGAGAGAGGCTTGAGCTTGTAGGATGCTTTTCTGCAAATCATCTCTTAAGGGGTGTGTGTGAGCAGACAGTCCTTGCTCGGTATGAGTAGCCCATAGTGAATTGTGTGATGTATAAAGCAATCCCAAGATTTCTCTCAAGTTCTTCCCCAAAAGTTAGAGGGATTCTTGGGTTTGTTTGGGGGAGGAAGAAGAAGAGCTTTTTTCCCTCGTGTTTTTTCCTTAACATCTAGGTAGCAGCAATGCCTCAAAGCTGGGTGGTGCCGTCTAGCCCTGTCTGTGCTTAAGGGATGATGGTGCGCTGCCTTCAGATGTGATGCCAAATGAATGAATCCATGGTGCCTGTGGGCTCCTGGACCATGTGGACACCAGTGGAGGGGGACTTTGGAGAGGTGCTTTCTCTGCTCCCTGCTACAGTCTGTCCAGAAGCCACCTACAGATCCCAGCACATGTCCTGGAAAGTCCCACTGCTATTTGCAGACCGGCTGTTTAGCCTAGCTGGCGGGAGCTAAAGGCCTGGACCAGGCTGGGAAAGTGCCCTTTGCTGTTGATGGCATTCGGAGGTTAGCTGCAGTTTAGCTACAGTAGTGTGGCAGCCTTCCCTGGCCTCTGCTAATAATACCTCCCACATGCACCAGTGCTGCTCTGGGGATGACTCAATCCCCCTGTTATGTAGGTTGCTGGCGGTATATAAGGGCTTCTATAAGATATGTGTTTTAATAACAAAACCCAAGGCTCGGTGAGAAGAGGGCACTTACAAGTTCAGTTGGCAAACAACTGGTTTCGCCTCTACTTGATTTTGTTCTTTGTAGTGCTTCCGTACTTCTTTTCAAAATACTTTTTATTTTTTAATGATTGCAATTCATTTTTGCATTCTGTTTGTCCGTTACTGCTTTTGGTACATGTAACATTGCCTATAGGCCAAGGTTAGCTTTAATTAAGGAATAGAGTCATTGGCATAGCTAGAATTGAAGAACTATGAGATTTTGTAAAAAGGTAGAAAATACCATGGAAAGCATACAGCCAGCAGCTCAAGTACCTAATTTCTCCTCCTCCAGTGAATTGAAGCTATTATGGATTATTGAGGACAGGGATTATCCATTCTCTGCTAAGCAGCTTTACTGAAAATATCAAAGATGTAGGAGAAAACCCAGGTTCATTAACTTTTCTCTGTATATTGTGTGTTTTTACCCTCTACTTTATTTGCAATTGAAGGAGAAATTGCTGTGAAAGCCTCTTGGTCCCTGGAGGAGCTCAGCACATGGAAGCGTACTTCTCGCTTACCTTTCTTGCTTGATGGTTTGGAATTTGTTTTCTTTCTTTCAATGAACCATTTGCACTGGCATTAGAGTAGTGGGTTTATTCTTTTTTCTTTCTCTCCTTGTTTTTCCAAGGAAATAGTTATTCATGCTGCATGTCAGTAATATAGAGGTGTTTTACTTTCTAGCCATTAGGAGTGGGGTCAAAGCTGTCTTCAACTTGGCATTTGAGGAAATGCTTCACGGGTAGCTGCTTCCACTTAAAAATCAGGCTGTGCAGATTTTCTTTGTAGAACCTGATATGATTGACATTAAAAGATGGAGGTAGAGCATGAGAGTCATTCGTATCTCTGTGGCTTCTCATCACATGTGAGAGCCATGATGGGGGGACACGATGTGTAGGAAGCATATCAAACTGAAGCAGCACAATCACTGGTAGACTTAAAAGTTTGCAAAAACCCAGGAGTGTGAGAGGGCTGCCCCTCTCCCTGGGTAGTTAATTTGGCTCCTGAAGAAGATGATGGCATTTGTTGGATGTCATGGCCAGTGTGGAATGAATGCATTGGCTTAGCTTGCTACAAGACAGCATTACTCTGTATTTTCTGCAGGGGGGGAAATGTGTTGGGCTGCCCAGCTCTGCCCAGCAAAGGCTGCCTGTTTTCTTGCTGCGATTTTCCACATGATGGAGATGTGTCCTCTGAGCAGAGGATGTGGAGCCAAGGATTCCCATGTCCTGGTCCCCGTTGTACTGGTCCCAGATGTCCCAGTTGCGACTTTGCTTCCTAATCTGAGGAAGGTCCCCCTAAACCTATGTCTTTCCATGTCTAATTTAGGAGTTCTTTAATAATTTTTTGGAGGGACAGGAGTCTATCCTGAGGAACAGAGGACTGAGTTGCCTTTCTTTAGGTGTGGTGAGCCCTTAAACTCCTGTCAACTTGTGTTCAAACCTCCTGAAAATGAACACTGCTAGGTCTTCGGAGCCTAGTGGGAGTGCAGGCTTCTGTGTCTGCATCTCTTTGGAAAACAGAGCTTTGAGACAAGTTGTTTAAATCTCTACAGCAAGCATAAATGCAAAAGGTATAGCCTAGTATTTGTGTTTGTCCTTGCAAAGGTGTTCATAGGCCATTAGTAAGTCTCAAGCAAAGCTCTTCCAGAGGGCTTGAAGCTTAGTATGCTTCAGTGCAGGCAGGGAGTGCTTGCGGCCATCCACTGGAGGACTTTTTGAGCCATAAGATTTAAAGGGAGGAGAATATTCTGGAGCATTAATGTAATGGTGCAAAACCCAGTATGCTTAGAAGGGACTGCCCCTCCCCTCACCCCATTTTCCCCAGGGCAGCTTGAAAGCTGCCTCCCAGCCACTGTGTTGCCCTAAATGCCAGCGTCCATGGCCCACAGCAGCTGGCCAGGCCGTGCAGACCTTTCATTGTGGCAGGCACAATACAGGGATTTGCTGTTTGTTGCTCCTAATAAAAGGGCACTCCAGCGGGTGGTGGAGGAGCCAAAGCTTGTTTACACCCCAGGTCCCCCGGCAAGCCTTGCCCTGATGCTGGGAGGGGAATTTCTGCATGCTGCAGCTTGTGGGGGACAAAAAACCACTTCAGCGGTGGCTGTTCTGAGGGTGACACCCAGCGGTGATATACAAGGGAAGCTGCTTAACTCCAGTGGTTGGTCTAGAGCTGGCTGACTTCTGTGCAGATGAGCCAGTTTTACTTCAACCAGCCTCCAGGTCTCTCAATGGCTCTGCCTTTTCTGGGCTGCCTGGTAAGCAAGCTGTTCTGGTTTTGGTGGTGGTGGGGCAGGGACACTAGCAAGAAGGTGGGGTGAGGGGGCTTTTGCTTCTCAGCATCACAAATATTTGCAAAGGAGTTGGGACGGGTTATTAATCCAACTGGTACTCCTTTCTTGAAGGTCTGATCTGCATCCTTCTGGATTCATAGGAATGCATCCTTGGATGAGAGAAGAGGATGCATGTATGTGTGTAGGGAGGTAGTAGTGAAGCTAAAGAAATTACAAAACACATGTTGCAAATGGAGTAGAAACACATCAGGGGATGTTTTCAAAAACCTGAGGTGTTGGGAGGCAGAAATCCTATTAATTTCCATCGGTGTTTCATGTTTCTAAACCCCTTTGGTGCATTGGGAGTTCTCCTTCATCAGTCCTTGGTTTTGAGTAGGAGTTACAACACATTCCTGAAAGATCCAGTTAATGGTTCCTTTATTCTCATTCTCCAATGGCCTTTTCCTCTTCTCCTTGCCCAGGGGCTGCAGTGAACCTGACTCTAGTGACACCAGAAAAGGCTATCAAACTGGCAGCCAATGACTTCTTCCGGCATCACCTCTCCAAAGATGGGTGAGTAGGGGGTGCAGACCTTTTGCATTCAACTTAAAAGACACCAGCTCTTGGGACAAGTCTGGTGAGACATGAGGGCAAAGGTGGAATGGGGTGATGTGATGACTGAAATACGAGTTGACCTTGAACAGCTCACCTGGTGATTACATTTGGGCTAAGTATGTAATGTCTAAAATGGGAAGTGAAAAGCACTCCACTGGATGACTGCTTTTTATTCAAGCTTCTAAAGATAGTCCCAGGTCTAAGCCAAGGTTAGGAGATCCAGTATTTATAGGCAAAATATTTGAGAGGAACCCAATGGCACTGATCAAAGCTCAAACAGCTGCTGGGAGGACCCTTGTCCTCAGCATCCTATTGGATGCTGTTGTGCTCTTTCTGGCTTGAACAGATGGCAAGTCAAGTTCTGTAGACCCCAAACTTAGCATCCCTCTTGTCCTTTTGTAGCTTGAAAATAGTTTCAGAGAGGTGGTGGATCTGAATTGACAAAGGGCACTTGCAGCATTGCCCAGCAGCTAACCTGCAAATAAATGCTGAAGGAATAAAATTATCTGCTTAGCTTGCAAGTGGGGGTTGGTTCATGTGAGTTAAACGTGAGCAAAAGATGCTAGCTGAGCAGTTGAGAGGGGCTGGACCTTGAATATTTAATGCTGTTTTCACCAAGATACTTCTCTTGCAATTTGGAGGACACTTGTGTCTCCCTTCAGACCGAGACCTCTCTCCAGAGACAGCCAGTGAAGGGCACTGTCTCCAGTCCTCAGTGACAGCAGTTAGAAAACAGCCTGCTTGGGATATGATCCTGACTCTTCCCTTTAGCAGTGATGGGGTGGAACCTCACTGAAAATGCAAAGCTCTGCAGTGATTACTTGGTTTAACAACTTCCCATAACATACCATGTCAGTCTTGGCTGCTGCAGATCAGTGACTCAACAACTTCAGTGGAGGATGTGGACTGACGCAGGTTGAGGATCTAATTTTTTCATGTACCTTTTTTTTTTGTTCTGGAGTCTCTTAAAGTAGCAGCTAACATATGTCTGTTTGACTCATCGGCTCGCAGCTGTTTGTGATTTTCTGTTTCTTCAAATAGTGTCTCTTCTGTGCTCTGCTCAGACAGTGGGAGGTAACGATGTCCTCATTGCTCCTTGCTTCTGTCAAGCAGTGGGTCTGATCCCTGCAGTAGACAACATGGTGGGCCCTGGTGTACTGCAGTAGACAGGAGCACAGCTAGCTCTTTGCCACCACGTACAAAGTGAGGGCTTAGTAGGTTGTACAGGGAAGATGAAAAGGTGCCAAGCTGCCATGCCTTGCACCACCACTGAGAGAGTGGCCCATGGAAGAAATCAGACCAGCATTGCAACATATTTGGTGTTCTGTGTAAGCAATTACTGCTGTGATGTTTCAACCATTAAAACATGACACGCCTGTGAGTAGGTGTCCTGCACCATGAGAGGTAAAGGCTTCCTTACAGGACAAATGTGTGTGTCTGCCTCTCAGTGCTGAGGCAGGCTTTGAGCAGGTGTTTGGGTAAGTGGGATGCAGCACTTTCCACGAGCAGCTGTCTTCACCCAGACCTCCTCCAGTTTGACTTCTGGGTTCCTGGCTGGTCCACATGTGACGTAGGTGATGTGCTGTGCTTGATTCAGAATAAAGGGGCTAAAGAGTTTTGCCAAGAGTAAGACACCCTGTTCTCCTAAAACATATGCACTCATGGGACTGGCATCACAGTGACCTGGAGCAGGAGCGTGATACCACTCAGGTAGTGGGGAGTCTTTGTGTCTCAACACAAAGCATTTTTAACTCCTTTAGAGAAAAGAAAAGTTGGGCCACAGTTAGGTGACAAGAGCTAGGCAGCATGTGGAGTTGGGATCACTCATCTCATTCAATGACCATGGAGGGCTTGGATGAATGATATCTGGTCAGCTCTGCTCGTGAGGATAGCCAGCATGAGCTGGACAGAGAGGCAGAGCCTTGGTACTGCTGTGATAGATGGTTTAAGGTGTTTCTAACTAGAAATGTCACTCCAAGATGTGATGGGAAAGAAAACGCCTTGCAGGTTGGCTGTGGCTGGTATAGGCCAGGAACTCGGGATCTAGCTGGAAGGTGTGGTGCATGCTGTAACCTTGCTTGGTGCATGGGGAGCAGGGGGTGATAGAAAAGGCTATGACATTACCAGTGAGGATAAGGGCCCTTAGAAACTGCAGGGCAGCTGCTTATTGTGGGATCCTTTTCCTCCATGCTAGAGAAATCCCAGGCCTGGGGATGGAGTATGTAACCTGCCAGAGGGGTTGTGCCTAGCCATGCACCAGATATCATGCAGCCTTGCCTTTGGCAGTTCACAGGATCTTTTCCCATGCGTAGCGCATGTGGCAAATAGGAGTGATGGCAAGGGGCTGTTTCACTGAGTCACAAAGCTGTGTCCCCCCCCAAGGGTTTGCCTTGCAATTGCTTCCTCTTTCCAACCTGTTTGCATTCTGCAGGTTTCTCCCTTGAGATGCTTCTGTCCCCTCCTCCCCAGTTGTCTTTGTAAGACAGGGCAGGATTAGCAGTGCTGGAATACAAACGCCTCTCCTCCTACCCAGGGCAAAACAGGGTACATAACTGCTAGCACATTGCAAGGCTGGGCCTCCTATTTCACAACTGCAGTCAAAACCTAGGTATGAACAACAAAATAGCCTGGGGTTAGAAAGATGAAGATTTAAGCTGCCTGGCATGTTAATGTGGTTTCATTTCTGGATATGTAGTTGCAACAGTCAAGGTGTTATATGGTGTAAAGCACAGCTGAGGGAGTTAGGCTCAGGGTAGGGCTGGGGCTGCTTTTTCATGGTGAGCCACCAAGATCTTGGTTCAGCTCCACCAAAGTCCTTTTTGCACAAGCCAGTATGCCATGCTCTTAGACGCCAGCATCCCAAAGGATGCTCTGGTGCTTTTCTGACTCAGAGCTGCAAAAGCCTTCTAGGCCTGTTTGACATTGAATGCCTTTGTTGCTAAGGTTCTAGCACTTGTCTTGCTTGAAATGTGTTGCATGAATTGGAGATCCTTGTCTGATAAAATGTGCATGTTCTGTCAGTATTTGCTGCTTAAAGTATGCTGAGTGTGTCCTCCACATGTAAGTGGAATAAGCATGTGTGGACCAGAGTGAGTGTGGCAAATCCATCATAACCCAAAATAGCCTCAAGTTACACAACAACTTTTAGTGTGCATTAATTTTTTTTTTTTTAATCCTTTGAAAAACTTAGTGTTGAAATGAACTTGCTTTTAAACTGCTAGGAAAAAAAGTGGCACAAAGCCTGTTTTTGAAAGGCCAGACTGAAAACAACAAGTGTGGTGTAGGAAGCTCCTTGGCTGCAAATTGCTGGAAGAGTGTTTTGGGGATGTATCACTGCAGGTTTGTGCTAGACTTCCTTTGCCCTGGCCATGCTCTTGGATGCTGCTGGAGGTAGAGTATCAGGGCAGCAGGACCTCACGTGCAACCCCGTGCCCTTGTTGGTGCACCCATCTCCCTGACCCTGGAGATTTCTGTTCCTGCAGCCGTCTCCACCCTGGGACCAGCTCAGGGCAGGGCACTCCTGCCCATGCAATGCTTTTCCCCTCCTTTTGGTGCAGGAAGGATGTGTGCTCACAGGCTAGGGAAGGAGAGTCTTCAGAGACATTCTTGTTCCTGTGGCGCTCTGTGCTGGCTAGACCATGTGGCAGGCAGTATGCAAGAGAAGGGGGAAACTTCCAACCTTCAGGTTGCTGAAAACAGATGCGATTTTTTTTCCTCTGGATTTCTGAAGCTGGATGTGTTGAGAGACCCATAATCTCACACCTGCTGTTAAAATAGCAGCAGCTTCTTTGTCCAGAGCAGAGGATATGAGAAGAGAAGTCACTAGGGCTAAGTGAAGCACTTGAATGTGAAGCACTTGGGTATGAAGCTAAGAAAGCAACTGAAATCAGTAGTACATCAGCATGCATTTAAAGTACATTGTTGATTTTTTGGGTGCTCAGTCTATGAGGCCTCTTTGATAGATATAAGTATTGCCTACAACTTTTTATGTTCTCTCTGAATTTGGGTGTTAAGCACTTCATAAAAAACAGTTCCTTTAAAGTGTCCTACAAGGTTTCATGTTTATCTCCAAAGTGTTGAGTGCCAGATAGCTGTTGTGTTTGGCATATGTTTGCCTGGTTCTGTTGTTCTTTTTTCAAGCTCTTGGTTAAATACTCTGCCTTTGCTGCGCTAAAAAGTGTCTCATGGCTTCTTATATAAGTGATTTCTTGCTCATAAAAACTCTCCAGTGTCCCTGGATGAGTTGCTGCTGCTCTTTTCCAAGGTGTGTTATTCCTTTACTTCTCCTGTCCTCTTTAATCTTGACCTTCATTTTGTTTGCTGTTCTGGAGCAAAGGCTGGGAATCTGCTGACTTAGCAGCTCAGATTCCTAGGAAGACCAGCACAATTATGTTGTGTCTTTGCTAATGCCAGCAAATTTTCTTCCTTTCTGCTTCCCCCTGCCTTGTAGCTTTGCTCAGAGAAGAGAAATAGCCAACTGTAATCCTGAGACAAGCAAGGCACTTTTGCTTCCCTCCCATGCAGATGGGGAGACTGGAGCTTGTTCTCCATTACCTTCCCAGCTGATATGTCTCCTGCACTCCTTCCTTCATCTGCTCCTCTTTCAGGCTCTCCTAAAATACTGGGACCATCTCTTCTGTGGCATCTGTATAAGTACCCATTGCATGGCCTGGTTGATCCTTGAGCTGCAAAATGCTCATAGACAGGCTGTAAAGTGAGGCTCTTGATTTAGGAAGGAGGGATGCTGCTGCTAGTCCTGCTGCTGAGCTGCTGTGTCACCTTGCACACGCTGTGTTTTGGTCTTTCTCTGGGCAGGAACTCTTGTGGTCCAAGGTGGCCTCTCCTGTAGTGATCCACTGGATGTCCAGACACTTCTTGAATGCAGATAACGCTCATCCAACCCACCAGGACTTGTAGGTAGGGGATTCTAGCCCTTCCTCTAGAGAAAGAGCCAGTTAAGAGCTGATAATACAACTGTGCCTATTCAGGGATAGCTATCTGGGGCAGGGGGGCTTTTTTATTTAGCACACAGAGGCTCAGGGAATTAGAGTGGGTAGAATTTGTAGACATTGAAGGTCAGCCAGAAAGTAAATGCACCTTCAACTGTTAATCTAGAGGGAGCTAGAGATGGGCTGTTTAATCACAGAATACACCCATGAGAGGAGCATTGCCCTTGTCTCCATTCCAGGTGCACGTCTTGGGGCAAAACACGGGTTGTGTCCGTGCTCAACATGCCCAGATGTGTTGCCCTCCCCATTGTTCACTTCACAGACATTTGTATTGGAACAAAACTCTTGGGACCTCCCGCCAGGGCAAACCTGATGTAATGGATGCAGGCACAGAGTCACCTTCCTCTTGACTTAGTCCAAACACACAACGCAGAGCTTCCACGGCTAGAGGTAGGTTGTGCCATACATGGAGTAATGCCTGCCAGAGCCAGATTTAATCTGGTGGCGTTACTTTGAGCAGTTACTAGGGTGGATCTGTCCCACATCAGTGCTTTGTTTTGCTTGTCTGAGGCATTTCTGAGCTGACACTAGGACTGGGAGGGAGCTTGTAATGGGAACTTTCTTGTGTTTACATTTCCCCACATCACAGCTCCAGCTTTTCTGAAGGGCGGTTGCAATAGCTTGTTGTCCCCTCTTGGGAGATCAGGTGTTGGGTTGAAGGGACTCACTGGCAGTTCGTGTGCGTGTCCCCATGTGGCTGTGGCAGACAGGCTGCCCTCCCTTTGAAGGACAACTCCTGTGTGTTGGTCCCCTAATCCATATCAAAGGCCCACTATTTAAATTGTGTAAAAGCAGCTGACTTTCTCTGGTTTGAAACTCTTGGGGAGCTTTCTATAATCTGTTGGGTTGACAGACCAGAGGCAGAGGTTATTTTATGAGTGAGGAAGGGGATGTACAACCTGGGGACAGTAACCTCTTGGGTAGCGAATAGAAACATATGGCTTTGTATGGATGTTCCCTTAAGTCAAAGATCTCCTGCCTTTGGAAATCTTGTCATCCTTATTCCAGAATGGCTGGTTTGGGTCCCTCCCCAAGCACAGTCAACTCCTACACAGTCAAGATTTTTCAGAAGCTTGAAAAAAATCCTACTCTGCTCCCCTGTGACATCAATATATCAATGCTTTCAGAGATCCTAACTTTGAACTGATGCGTTGCTCTTGAAAAGCCTTCCATAAACCTCTAGTTCCTGCTTTTTGACTTTCTTATTTTTCAGCTCTAGTTTGAAACTCTAATTTAGATGGAGCGTGAATCTTCTCCCCTTCCTGTTTGACGTTGTTGATTTGTCACTATGTCAGTTAAAAAAGTGGAACAACTGATTTCTGCCAGTGCAGAACTTGGGGCTATTGTGTATGTGTTACATTAAACACCCTCTTGCTGTAATAAAAGATGGTTTCTGCATTTGTAGGACCAGATGGTTGCTGGTGTTGCAGCTTGTGACGGTAGTTGAGATGCGCCAGTTTTTAAACCACTGAGGATAAGGCCTGTGGTGCCTTAAATGTTTAAACCCCTTTGTCATCTAGAGATGAACTGTTTTCAAACTCCTTTTATGCTCAGGCTGGTGAAGTTTTGCAAAGGAAGTTTGACTGCTGTATGGCAAATTTTAAACCTCCTGACAAAAGATTTGCTTATCTTAAGCTACTTTTTTTCTTGGACTGCGCCTAGTTCCCAGGATATGCAAACCAAAAGCTGAAAGCCCTTGTTCTAGATGCTTTTGATGTACCTGTTTGACATCTCTAAAATACACCCACGCACATAAATCCTTTGCTGGGTCACACTGGCATAGCTCCATGGAGTTCAGTCAAGCCAGGATGGCTTTTGTTGGCTGGTATAACGGTCCACAGATGAACACGCAGGGCAAATCTTCCTGATCTTTTGAACTGGGTATCAAAGTGGTTGCGCTGGATGAAAGCCAGGGGACGTGTACTCCAGGGATGCTCCAGGGCTCTTGCTGAAGTGGGAGATGCTCTGCTGTGCTGTAGAGAGGGACTGGCAGCCAGTTCCTTTGGGTAGTTTGCTTCCTCCCACAGCTGGGCTAGAGGTTGTACAGCCTTGCTGCTGACTGTATTGAGCAATGCAGAGACTGGCAGTGTGCTTCAGGCCACCTGAGAGGCACAAGTTGGCCGCCTCCATGTGTCAGTGCCAGGGGGACCTCTGGATTTGCACACCCTGATACCTGCGTACCTCCAGGAAAGCTTGCTGCGCACGCTTCAGTGCCCATGTGGGTAACTCTGCAGGAGGGTTTGTGTTTTGCAGCTTCTCATCTATGGGGGAATTTTGAAAGGGGAGTGAAATGTTCCTCCCTTCAGCCTCACAGGAGAGCTCTATATTTAGTCACTGGTAATCTCCGTTGTGGCTCTGTGCCTCTAATCCCCTGCTCCAATACCCTCCCTGGAGAAGATGAGAGGTGGAGAAATCAGCACGGCTGAACATGGTGGGCCAGCAGGATTATGACGCATCTCCCCTCCCTTTCCTATAGGCTTGGCATTGAAAATTATTTGCTGGCCTACAGTGCCACAGCTGTGCTGTGTGTCCGTGCATATGAAACTCCCAGTAAGGGAGTGTGGCTTGGCTTTGCAAGGGAATAGGGTATATCATTGTGGGACTGCTTTTGCCATAGCGTGGGGACTCGCCTTGATTAGGTTAAGACAAGGTATTGCTGGGCTGGGGGGAGTAAAAATAGTACTTGCATTTAAAATGGAGAAAAAGGAGGCTGTTTCCCTCTGGCTGTGTGATTTACATGTGTGCTTTTTTTTCCCCCTTTTAGAAAAGAGCAGATCAGAGGCACCTTTTTTTTTTTTTTTTTTTTTTTTAATCAAGTCAGTGTTTTCTGGTGCCAAGGGGTGAGATTTTTTTACTGGGCAAAAACTCATCAGTTTCTGAAAATTGAGGCTTTCTGAGCATTTGCATCCTGAGTTCCTCTTTTTAGTCTCAGCTGGGCTGTTTCGTGGCTTTGGGATGGAGTGAGCTACGAAATGCTGCATTTTGTTAGGCAAGAACTTGTTGCTGATAATCCCTGCTCTCTAGTGCAGTGCTGGGGGTCCATCCCATGCCTTGTTCCTCAGGCAGGACCAGTTTAGTGCAAAGGCTACTTTTTCAGGTTTGGAAAGGCTGGTGAGGTGAAGAAGCTCCTAACCACAGGGGAACTGACTCCCTGACTCTCATGTTCGCTGTTTATTTATTTTACTTTTGTCATGGAACTCCAAAGTGGCAACTGGAATGTTTTCCCCCCTTGCTCCTTGCCCTGTGGTCTCTGTTTGTTTGTGGGGATGTTGACAGTGTTTAAAGGACTAGGCTGGCAGAAGGAAAGCTGCTTATCCCCCTTAATGCTCAGGTCCTCTGCTGCCCTCTTGAAGCAGTACTCTTTCCGAGGGCTGTGTCCTGCGAGGGCAACACCAGGGTGGAAGAGAGCTGCAGCTCTTTGCCTGGGGATGGAGAGGGTTGTGTGCTCCTGTCTGGGGCTGGTCTGGCTGGGATTTTGGCTCTTTCTGAATGTTCTGTTTCTGGGGCCAAAATGGGCCTCTTCCTCCAGATCAGGTGATGCCGGCAGAGATGCCAAGCCTGGGCCGTGCTGAACTGTCAAGCCTAGAAGGTTCCCTCATCCCCTGGGCTGCCTCTCCTGTAACCCCCAGGGTCAGAGGTGTGCCCTGAGCCCCTGTACCCAGCGGCCCTGGTGTTACTGCAGGCCACCTCCTCCGACTGACTCTTTCTCTCTTTTCTTCGGGCAGGAAAAAGCTGACACTGCTGAGGGAGATGCTGGCGGGCTGCGGTGCAGGTACCTGTCAGGTGATTGTCACCACTCCCATGGAGATGCTCAAAATCCAGCTGCAGGATGCGGGGCGAATTGGTATGTGGACTTCTCTTCCCTGTGCACTGAGCAGGCAGGGAGGAAGGGATTAGCATCCTCCAGTGCTTTTCCTGTGGTGCTTCCTCCATCTCCATGTTTTCTGGTGTCTATTCTCTCTCTTCTACCCTGCTGTAATACCTCCCTAACAGCTTCCCAAGGAGAGGTGTCCTTTCCAAATGACTTGTCTCCCCTCTTACTCCCTCTTCTTTTCGCCCTGACAAAAGCAGCAGTTGTCTCAGCTGAAACAGTAAATAAAATTCTCCTGGTGTGCTGGATTTGGAAGAGGTTTGGGGTCAGGCTGTCAGGGCTGTGGGCAGGAGCTGGCAGGCAGAGGCAGGAGGGAGTGCAAGCCTTTTGGCTGAAACACTGTGGGGTGTTTCTGGTGAGAATGGACACCAGAGTCTGGCACAGAGGATCTGGGTGAAAGAGCTGTTTACTATCACCTTAATCTCTTCCAGAGGTCAGCCTGGGGTATGGCCTTGTTCCCCAGGAGCCCTGCATGACAACGTTAAATACCATGTTTGTGGCCCTTCCCAGAAAATGAGCCAGTTTGTCCTTTAATCTCTCCTTTTTCCTGAATAATCACAGATTTACTTTGTCTTTCCTCTCTTCACTGTTTTTAATGCAGACCTTTGTCTGTATTATTTTTAAATGTTTGAAGGAATTAAGCCATGGTTTGAGGGTTTAGAAGAGGTTTTCACTGCTGTGAACAGCTTATTCTCTGTGTGGCAAGAGACGTGTGGTGTGCTGGTGGCAGCCAGAGGATTGCCTACAGGTTGATGTGCTCTCTGTCTTCTGGCAAAGAGCAGAAATGCATCAGTTTGAAAAGGCTGCATGTATAAATGTGCAGCTGAGGAACTCCCCATGTTAATGATTGCTTTCAAGGGAAGAGAACAGAAATGTTGAACCTCCCTCATTCATTAATATCTTTCGTTTGTCCTACCGGGAGCTCAGGGACGTAGCTGGAAGCAGGTACCATCATCTGCCTGCTCATGGCAACTCCTTTTCTCTGTACTGTGGAGGTCATGTGTGACGGGCTCCTTCTGCTTAGGTAAAACCAGTCGGTAGGAGAGTGCAGCGGACAGCATTGTGGTGTGGCAGCAGCCAGCTCTGACACTGGGACAAACTGGGTTGCCTCAGGCTGAGGGAGATGGACAGACAGGGAGCAAAAGCTTGCAGGGCACCTGGCTGGCCATGGTCTGTGTGTTTTGGTGCACCTGGAGATCTGCCTCTTCCTCCTTGTCCTGTGGCACCAGGCAGCAAGAGACTGCTGTTGAGCATCTTGCAAACCAGTGCTCTCTCTGCTCCTCCCCAGCGGCACAGAAGAAGCTGATGGCAGCGCAGGCTCAGCTCTCCTCTGCAGCGGGGGCAGCGGAGCCAGCAGTGGAAACGCGCACCACAGCAATGCAGATAACAAGGGAGCTGCTGCGGAGCAAAGGCATCGCGGGACTCTACAAAGGCCTGGGAGCCACGCTGCTAAGGTAGGAGGGCGTGGGCTCAAGCGCAGGGCACCAGTGTTCCCAGTCTCAAGCATAAAGCACCACCCATCCAGGGGATGAGTCTGCAAAGGGGGTGTTGGCTTCAGGGGGTGTGGGTTTGATTTTGGTTTGGTTACCATGCACAGGTTTTGCGCATTAAAGAAGTGAAGGTCAGGGAAGCAAGGGAGCCTGCCTTTTATTCCTGGAAGATTTAATTCTGCTGCTTTCTCTGGAAAGTTTTTTGTCTCCCCCATGGTCCATATTTTAGCACTGTAGAGAAGTCCTTGTGAGCTAGCAAAGCAAAACTGTCAGCTTCAGTCTCCAGACTGTGAAATGGGTTCTGGCCCGTGGAGCTGTTGAATGCAAGGACCGGTGCCTTCTCTGACACTCTTTACCTGGGCTTTCACGGAGTGACTCTCCCAGCTTTAACAAAGGCAAAGCTAAAGCAATGCCCGGTGACATGGGGAGCAGGATGTGAACCTTTTGTTATTAACAAAAGTGGACAAAATGATTGACTTCTGAGGTCAACTGGCTGGGGTCTTTGGTTTGAGTTTTGAAGAATCAGGGGGAGGCCACTGACTCCACAGGGCTGCATGCCTCCTGTCGGCCTGTTGCCCTTTTTGCAGTCAGTTTTGCCCCTGCTGAGTTTCAGCTCCTGTCTGCGTTGCACTTGTGGCTGTACTGCCAACGTGTGATGCTTGCACATGTGTGATGCTTGCTTTGAGGCTCAGTTTGTTGGTGTCCCACTCTGACTTTGCTCATCCTTATTCTTCTTTCTTCCCCTTCCTTCCTCCCCACCACAGGGATGTCCCGTTCTCCATCGTTTACTTCCCACTGTTTGCAAACCTGAACAAGCTGGGCCAGAAAGACCCCAATGTCAAGGCTCCGTTCTACGTGTCCTTCCTCTCCGGGTGTGTGGCTGGCAGTACGGCTGCAGTGGCTGTCAACCCTTGTGATGGTGAGTCCTGAGTAGCTTGTGCTGGTGGCCTGGCGCCAAGTGACAGGAGTCAGAGGCCCACAGGTGGGCTAGGTGAGGAGGAGGGTGACCATGCCAACCTCTTCACAGCATGAGCACACAGGGAGGTACAGAAGGGGAGCTCTGCTGTCTGAGCTGCCTCCAGCTCAGATGATGTTTCCTTCAGCTGAGCTATACCTTTGGCTACAACTTACACAGAGGTTTGTAGTACTCACTAAGTAAGTCAGGAAGAGGGTGTCATTCATTTCAGTCATTTTTCACAGGAATGGCTGCGAACATGCCCCTGAAAAGGCATGTTTCCATGTGGAGTGATAGTATGCAGACCATTTACATGGATACGGTCATGGACAACCGGGGGAGCCTCAGATCTGTGGCTTTCTGCTCCACAGCATCTGCCTTAAATATCACCTTGGTTTCTCTGCTATGAAAAACATCAGAAAGTAACTCCTCTCTCCCCAGCATTGCACATACTCCAAGGTGTGAAGAAATGTAAGAGCAGCATCATATATTTTAGATACTCCTTCCAGAAGGAGCTGAGTATTTGAAAGTCGGTTCCCACTTTGCAGAAAGATGTCTGAATTTGGAAGTGTTTAAAGCTTAAGTCAGCCTTGGAAACCTTGGTCACATTGAGGGGAGGAGGTTGGGTTTTGGGTGGCTGTGTTTTTCTTTTGTCCATTTGTAAAGGAATGGGTTTGGTTTCCCCTGTGTTGCTGATAAATATATGAAAATGGTCTGCATTCTTGGTGATCTCATTCTGACTGTGTTTCAAGGACATTACTCTCAGGGTGGGTCTTGCCTGCTGAAGAGCGTGCTATATTCCCAGTGTTCACCACACTCTCTCTCTCTTTTCTCTCTTTCTCACCAGTGATCAAAACACGGCTGCAGTCCTTGCAGAGAGGAGTGAACGAGGACACCTACTCGGGAATCCTGGACTGCACCAAGTAAGACTCCTCGTGAAGCAGACTACTGCATCAGATGTATGGCATCTGCTGCTCCTGCTGCAGGCAATCAGTGCAGCTTCTAGACCCAACCAGCAGCTTCTCTGTTTCAGGTTCCCTCTGAACCTGTGCTTTTATCTATGTATCTAACTGGATAGATAGATAGATGACCAGATATATACTGTTCATATAGAATCATAGAATCATTGAGGTTGGAAAAGACCCTTAAGATCATCCAGTCCAACCATTAACCTAACACTACCAAGTCTACCACTAAAACAATTAAGGGTAGAGTAATAATTAATTTCATGTTTTCTGGCTTGGTGGCTGGATTATTTTTTAATGAAAGTAAAACTAGGAATCATTAAGGTTGGAAAGGATCTCTAAGATAACAGACCAACCATCAACCCAACACCACCATGCCTACTTGTTGTGGTTTAGCCCCAGCCAGCAACTAAGCACCACG